TTTTACATATTTCAAATTACACAGATTCATCCCTAAAATTTTATTTAAACGAATTGCTAGCATGTTCTCCTCCATACCTCCTTCTATTATTTGGCTAATTTCCAGCATGTTGTGTTTGGCTGATTTCCAGCCTAATCTCCTCCAGAGCACCCACTATTTTGGCTAATTTCCAGCATATTCTCCTCTGAGCCTCCCACCATTATTGGCTGATTTCCAGCATTTTATGTTGGCTGATTTCCAGCATATCTCCTCCAACTCCGCTCCTGTTGCTTGGCTGATTTCCAGCATTTTATTGGCTGATTTCCAGCATATTATATATTTGGCTGATTTCCAGCATAGTCTCCTCCAAAACTCCCACCATTATTTGGCTGATTTCCAGCCTATTCTCCTCCAACTTTCCTACCATTGTTTAGCTGATTTCCAGCATTTTAACTAGTTTCCAACATATTTCTCCCGAGTCTCAAACTCTTAACTAGTTGGTGCCCATCACCTCTTCTTTTAATTTTCCCTTGCAATATAATTATCTATTTAATGTCAGTTTCCCAACATACTTTTTCAAATTAGTTCTCAATATGTTTCATAATAATCATTTCCAGCATATTTTAGATTAAATCACACCTTGTAACTAAGGTCTGTGTATCTTCTTGTTTCATTCAATAGAACCATAATTAAACATTTACCAATCTAACATTGCTTACAAGTTAAAGTCAAACATATTACATCAAACATTTATTTTTCTTAAAGTTATCCCGTATTTGTATATATTCTTCTTTAATATTTTTAGCCACCTTTATCTCAATCCTCTATTTTGATTACCATCTTTTATTTTCTATTTTTATTACTCCAAAACCCCTCCAGTTTTTATCTAAAAATCATTTATACTTTTAAGCTTTTAAATATTACATTTCAATTTAATTACATTTGATTTTATCTTTTTCCTTCCTTCTCCTTTCTGTCCAGCTGTTCCACTTCAAAAGTCTATCTGCTCAATTTAAAAATTGTGTGTGTCACTTTAATGCTTTTGGAATGTCTAGTCCATGTGTGATGCATCAACTTCCTGTCTTTGTTCCTACACCGCACCCAGTATTTTTGCTAGGCTTGTTAAATTCCATCGTGAAAAATCCAAAATATTTTTTCTTTCTTCATAGAATCACCCAGGGACAGAGTAGGAATCTCCAAAATCCATAAATTTAATGTTAATTTCAAAATAGTCCAAGGTATAAAGCCATTTACAATGTTCTTTTTCCAAACGAAAGGGAAATCTCTTTAATCCACTCTCCTGCTTAGTCACCACAGACTCCATGGCAATTATGTAGCCACCCGTCTGTCACTCTTCATTAGCCTCGTTAACTTTCTAAAGGTGTAAATTCCCAGAAAAACATTTCTCTAATCAACTCCAAATAAGTAAAAAAAGATAGAATCCAATTTTAAAATTATTAAGTGCCAATTATTCCAAATGGAATTTCAAAGTCTGTCATGGGTCTTTGTCTCCAAAAAAAAATTTTTTTTTCCCTTAATCTTCAAGCCCCATAAATCTGCAGCCGCTATTTAAGGCTTGGGGTCTTATTTTTCAATCCATTTAATTCTGTTGCTTTGCCTGGGTTGGTGTCACTCACCTGGCTTCAAGGTATTGCTTTCTCCTCTTCTCTCCAGCACAATCTTTTTCCCGGTCCTCTGCGGCTTTGCGACAGCCGCCATAGCTGCCTCCCCCCATCTCTGATTTAGAGGATTTCCTCTGGCCTCCGAGGAACTTGCCTGTTCCTCATGGCCCAGCGAGGTGCTCCTCTTCTCCCCCCATCCCTACAGGATGGGGTTGGTCCAAGACCGATCGGAGGATGGATCATCAGTCAGGCTTTTTGCGGGCTTGTTAGAGCCCGCCATTCCCCCGACTGTATCGCCGCGGTTCCAGACCAGAAGTCCAAATAAAAGTTATTTCTAATAATACTGAAAATAAATGTTTCTGTTCTTTTGAAATGATAGAAAAAAATAAAATCAGTGAAACCATATACTTTTAAAAATACAGATAGTCCTTGACTTATGACCAGTAACTTAGCAGGCATTCTGAGTTACAGGGGACCTCTCTAAAAGCTACCTATGACCTGCTGTGGAAGTTATGGCCACTGTAGTGCCTCTGTAGTCATTCACCCTTGCCTTAATTTAATTAAATTTAAATTTAAATTTAAATTTAAATTTAAATTTAAATTTAAATTTAAATTTAAATTTAATTTAAATTTAAATTTAATTTAATTTAAATTAAATTAAATTAATTTAATTTAATTTAATTTAATTTTTTAATTTAATTTATCGCATTTCTATGCCGCCCAACTCCCAAGGGACTCTCCCAGTTGACCACTGCAACACACACTTCTCCTGTCTTCACACACACACACACACACACACACACACACACACACACACACACACACTTCAGTACACCAGATCTCCGCAGGCATTGGCTTGGCTTCCCACTCCATCAGATTCCATATCCTCCTCACTTATCTTTCAAAGATTTGTGGAACTTCAGAGCTTGGATTATGGAAGAGAACAAGTTGCTTCATCATGCGGCTGCATGGGTGATTTTGGAAGCAGCCACTATTTTCTGAGCAGCCACACTGAATTGTAGTCTCTCAGAAAACGGCAGCCACTTCTGGAATTCTACCATGTGGTCACATGAGAAAGAAAATTGTTCTACTTCCTTAACCTGATCTGTGCAGTGCTGTGGAAAGCACTGGAGCTTTGACATTCTTCAGAAGATAAGAGCATATGGGGGGGGGATGCCCAAGCCCTTGGTGGGGCAGAGAAAACAGGTCCAAGGGCTGGGGGGACCCCAAGGGGCAGAAACCAGAGCACTGGGTGTCTCAAGTGATGGAGGATACCTTGGGAGGCTTGAAGCAGGTGTGGCTGATCTGCATTAGGCCTCCCAGGGGGAAACAAATAGAATGGAATATGAAATTGATTCAGAATTGGGGAAAGTATGTGAAGGTTGTGTACTTTCACCTAATTTATTTAATGTATAGAATGATAAATGCTACACTAGAAATTAGCAATTAAAATCACTGAGATCCAGCTTTAGATATGTTGATAACACCACTTTTTTGGTTGGAAGTGAGAGGTATTTCAGGAATCTCATGTTGAAGGGGAAAAAACCTTTTAAAAATGGCCTCAATATTTTGGGTTGGCGGGGAGAAGAGCCCTAATTTGTCAATAGTCAGTGCCAACCACAAACAATAGGTAAAGAACAATAAGAGTTTTAATAGACTCTGATCCTTAAAAACCTTGGGTATGGCTCCTAAGAATCTTTGGGAAAAAAATGACAGAATTTTGGTAGTGGTTTGCTCTCCAAACTTGTTTCAATTTAGTTTCTGAACATTTTATTATCAGACTAGGTAAGATCATCAGAATGATTTTCTTGTCCTATTCTCCTTAGCTTATAAATGTCTAGTGTGCCAGTGTAGTCAGTTGGTCGTTTGATTGGTTGATTGTTTGGACTTTGGAGCTTTATTTAAATTGTGAGCAGCTGATTGGTTCTCTTGTGGATTGGTCATTAGAATGGTCTGGTCTCTTGTGTATTCATATGCTGGTTCTAGATCAATGTGCTTGTTAATTGTTCCTTTGGTAGAATATAAGGCTTCAATAAATTCATGTGTGTGGCGGGTGCTGGCATGACCAATTATTTTTCTTCCTTCCCAATCGAACTGCTGTTGTTCATTATCAATGTGGTTTGAAATCAGGGATTTTGAGTCATGCTGTTTAACTGCTAGTTGATGTTAATGAACCCTTTCTGTTTGTCCCACATAGAATTGGTTACAATCGTTGAAATTGGTTTTGTATACTATGTTGCTGTTGTTTTCCTTCTGTATTTTGTCTTTGACTTTAGATCAACGGTCACCAACTGATGGTCTGTGAAGCACTGATGGTTCATGAGAAAATTTTGGTGATCCGCAGAAATATTATTTGCATTTTTTAATATTGCACTAAATACTATTTATCTTTTTAAAAAATTCATATTGGTGGTCCGCAGAATTTAGGTACGAAAGGTTAATGACCCTGCTTTAGATAGCTTTTTTCTGTGTGTAAATGTGGGTTTATGAACTATGCAGTGTATTTTGGCTCTTTTGAAAAGGGTCTGGATGCAGCTCTTCTTGTGTGCAGTGGAGTGGTTGCTTGTGAAATTTGGTCTGTGTGCGTGGTTGTTAATTCGCCGCTATTTTGTCTCGTTATGTCAATATCTAGGAAGAGGAGTCATTGTTCTTTTTCTTCCTCACATGTAAAACTGATCCCATTTATTGAAGCCTGGTATTCTACCAAAGGAGCAATTAACAAACATATTGATCTAGATCCATTGTATGAATACATAAGAAACCAGACCATTCAAGTGACCAACCCACAAGAGAATCAATCAGCTGCTCAGAATTTAAATATAGTTCCAAATAAACAACCAAACGACCAACTGACCACGCTGGCACACAAGACATTTATAAGCTAAGGAGAATAGGATAAGAAAATCCTGCTGATGATGTTACCTAGTCTGATAATGAAACATTCAGAAACTAAATTAAAACAAGCTTGGAGAGCAAACCACTGCCAAAATCTAAAATCCAAGCTACAAGTATTTTCTATTATTTGAAAATGACAGAATATTTATCTTTTAGTACTGAAGGAAAACAGATATAAACTGAAAGTAGAATAATCAGATTGCTGATAAATAAATGAGAAGTAATTCTTTGTCATAGTTGCATCTACTTTTAGAGTGGGGACCTCATTCTTGAAAAAAAATAATTAGAATGGAGTCATGTCATTATATAACACAGCAAGATAGTTTATATTTTTCTCAAAATGCAGAAATTGTAATAGATACGTTTTGCTGCAGCTGATATGAAGTACCAAGTAGTTTGACTGATTCCTTAATTAATCTTCATAGTTGTAGCCAAACATTAATGGTTTCCTATGTGGTGTTTTTTTTTACCTAAATTGTTTAATCTCTCTTCATTTACTTTAAGGTACACCTCTATATGCAGCTCATTTCCGCCCAGGGCAGTATGTGGACATCACTGCTAAAACGTCAGTTCCAACTCTATTTGTTTATGTCCTAAAATTTTAAGTACAATTTAATTAGCTTTTCTTGGAAGTCTCTTCTATTTTTTATTAAGCTATTGATAGGTTGCCCTTTAAACATTCCTAACTGATTTGAGTAAAATATATATAAAATACACTAATGAGTTTTTATAAATATTATAATAAATCTGCTGCTGAAAATCACATTTTTTCCCTACTCTAAAACAAAATGGTGCTGAATTAGATCTGGGGCGGGTTGTCAGTAGAGTAAGGCAACTTCAGTTACAGTACTGAGAAATAAAGCAAGGTGGTTTATCTCCTTTCTCTCATTATATAGCTTATTAATACTATTTCAAATAATGGTTCTTGTTTATGAAACAGCCTTCATAGTATAAGTAGAATTAAAAACTAACAGGTCTGATCTATAAAGCATTTTTTTTCTACTATGCTGGTACTTTATTCATAAAATTCTTTTCCATTCCCTGCCTGCCATTTTGGTACTTCAGATTTTAGAAATAAATCTTTGTTTGGGTTGTAGTACTTTGAACACATTACTGATCCTAAATTGGTACCCCAAAAAACCCATGTATCAAGAAGAAAAGGTATGCCTTTCTGTTGTGGTGGTGATGGTAGTCATTCAAATCAACTTTGACTGCCAATGACTACAAGGGCAAGTCTCTGCAATTTTCTTGGCAATATTTTTTTGGGGGGAACTGGTTTGTCATTGCTCTCTTTCTAAGATTGAGAGAGTAATCGGCCCAAAGTTATCTAGTTTCTATGCTTTCAACTGTTATAACAAATCGGTTGTCGTTTGGTTCTTTCCCCAGATGTACATACAGGGATTTTAGTTTCTTTTGTGTTTAAAAAAAAACAACAGAATTTACTTAAATGCCTTCCCACTATAGTATGATTTATAAGTCAGTACCTTTGTTTTAAAATGACACAATTAAGAATTAGATAATTATTGTATCACTAAGTTTAAGCCTGTTGTATTTGTTTAATTTTGTCTTTATTATCTGATTTCTTTTTTTTTCATCTTTATAACTTACCAGTGGTAGAAAAGTAAGAAGACCACTGTATTTATTAGGGTTAGGGTAAGTTTTTTGTCTATTACCTAACTAGTAGAGTGATGACCTCCTCAGTTAAATAAATTATTCAGATTCCTTAGCTTTACTAGGAAAAGCACAGTATTTTATTATGGAACAAGCTCAAGCAGATTGTCATTCAAAGCATTATATATTTAATTTTTTTAACATCAGAGTTAGTTTCATGTTCTGTATTGAAAATAGAATTCCACATGTAAAGAAATGTGTATTGTGTGAACATTATGTCTAGTGAGATAGAGCACGTAAATGCAGGATTTATTCCAAATATAAGGAGAATAAAGATGAAAAAGTGTCTAAAAGGTCTGAAGGTATCCAAGGCAATGTATTACTTTTCATCGCCTAATTTTTCATCATGTGAAAAATATGTCCATGCAATAAATGTATTACATTGAAAGGATCCATAAGAAAGGCAGTGTATGTACCACAAAAATAACTAACAATCTGCAGGCTATTAAGAGCTGAAGCTTTCCATTTCTGTATTCTTAGAAGTTGTTAAAACCTGAAGCAGACACAGAAAGAAAAATGGTTCTAGGAGTGCTGCCACTTATATGTATGCAATTTGTATGTTGAAATTGCTTTTCGATTTTATCCCATCAAAGGCACTATTTGTGAACTATGTGGATAATTCCCATCTATGCTATTTTATAAAAAAGGACATCTAGATAAAAATACTGAAATGGACACTTAGTTCTTTGCCAGGGATTATATTGCTTGATTGAATTTGACAGAGATATGGTCAACAATCCAAGACTAAATGTTGTTTCATGTTTTGGCTTGCTCTAAACATTTCTCTATTAATATATATACATATTTCTTTAAAATAGCTTTTTGTTCACAAGACATTTAATTGATTCATAGAGTATTGGTATATTGTGAAAAAATCAGGTTTCCAATCTCCATTGCTAATTCTACAAGAGATTGGTATGAACTTCAAAAGCAGCAGGGATTCTGGATTTAACTAATCATTAAGGTAGAATGCACACACACATACACACCCTATTTTCAGGCACAAACACCCTGATTGTGCTGCCATGGATTTGTCTTTTATTTTTCCTTTTATGAACTGAAACCATAGGTGGGAGTTTCTAAAAAAGGAGATACTAAAAGCGAAATTGGAAATATTTCCAATAAGACAAAAAGGGTAGCAGAAGATATTTGGCAACATAAATCTAGAGAATATCAAGAAAGCTAAAATTTAGCATGACCTGAAGCAGAGATAGATGCTAGTATTCAATCAATCAATCAGTTTATTACAGTCTTAGACCAGAGACCAGAACAAATAAAAACGCTCAGTAAATATACAATTAAAAATTCTAGTATAAAATAATAAATAACAACTGAAATCTATAATGAAATTCTGTCTATCAATTATACATGGTCTAACTATACTAAAATTACAATCCATAAACTGTGTGGCCCATTGTAGGTTCAGCACTAAAAGGGAAAAGACTAGGCAGTGCAAAGTTTGCCACATTTTTTATATAATATAACTATGGTGGAAAAGACACGTATTTGCAACGAATCCCCAGTGCTGCTGCACAGAATCTGGCCACCTGCGCTGTAGTTAGGGACTGTTCATCCTTAAGCAGCCACTGAAGATAGATAGTATCGGAATGGCCAGGATACCTAGCAGTTATTAGTAGAGTTTTTTTCTTAATCTCTGTGTAAAAGGAATATCTAAGGAGCATGTGACCCGCAGTCTCCACCTCTCCTGAGCTGCAGGAACAGAGTCTTTCCATCAATGGTATCCTTTTATACTTACCATACAGGATGACAATGGAAGCGCATGGCACCATGTGAGCAAAAATGCTTTCTGGTGGTTTGCTGAGTCCAACTGACTAAGATAGCTGGCAGGAGTGACAACACATTTAATGTCATCTGGAGCCAGAAACAGTGGAGCTTTCCCTAAATCCCACCTGCCTCTCGATGTCCTCTATCCTTTGTCGCAAGATTTGTCTTGCTAGGTCATAGTCCATCTTGAGTATTGAAGCTGGGGAGAAGCCTAGTTTGGCAAAGTTGGACTCGACAGCCTTGATCCCTTCCATCCTTTCTAAGGTGGGTAAAATGAGGACCCGGTTTGTGGGGGCAATAAGCTGACTTTGTATAAAATATACAAAAGTATGAAGGCTGTTGCTTTACGCATTGTAAGCCGTCCTGAGTCTCTGGAGAAGGGCGGCATATAAAAATAAATAAAAATAAATAAATAAATCCATGCCGAGGAGAATTTGTCTTGGAGGATTAATGGAGCAAGATCTTGCGGAAAGAAGTTAAGCTTTAGCCAGAGATTTAAGGACACTATACAGATTCTTGCTTTGACTTTTGTCAATTCTGTCTCCAGGCGCAGAAGTGCATTTGAGGCACAATGCGGCATATGGAGAATTGATCTAATGAATTTGGATTGAACTTTTCCTAATGGTGTAAAACACGAAGCTGATGGTCCGAGCAAGGTCCCATAAAGAAGCTGTGCTAGCGTCTTGGCCAGAAAAAACTTAATTGAGGCAGGGACATAATATCCTCCCTTTATGCGAAAAAATTTAACGATGGCGTTTGCTGATCTTTGACCGAAGGCAGCTGCATATTCTGCATATGCTTTTCTTGAACCGTTGGCCTGAATGACCAACCCCCAGGTATTTGAAGGTGGTTACCTGCTCTATTTTGTGGCCATTTAGATACTATGAAAAAAGTTTTGGCCTTTTGGCAGGGGCCATGATGTTGTTTTCTCATAATTTATGTCCAGTTTATTGTAATACTGGACAAGGGCTCGCAAGGCTCTTTTAAGGCCTACTGTTGTCCTGGAGAGGATCACAGCGTCATCTGCATAGAGCAGCAGGGCGATGCTTTGATCACCTATTTTTTGGTGGTGGTAATTTGGTTTGTTTAGCCATTTTACCATGTCATTTATATAGAAGTTGAAAAGCAAGGGGTCCAAAATACACCCCTGTTTAACCCCCTTTTGAATTTTAACTGACTTTGAGAGGGATGAATATTACACCTCACCTTGAGGGGTGTTTTAGTATGTAGAAACTGTGGTCGATTGAGGCATCTTCCAGCTTCTCCCATAGCTTAGTCCTGGTAACCATATCAAAGGCTGCCTTAAGATCTATAAAGCCGGCGTATAATGATACAAATCTATTTGATATGTATTTTTCAATCAGATGATGAAGAACTAAGCACTGATCTGTGGTGCTCCTCTAAACCTGGCTTGCTCTTCAGCGATCAAGTTCTCAAGATCCAGCCACTCCTTTAATTTATCTTGGAAGTGTTTGGCGTAAAGTTTGCTAATTATATTTAGTAAACTTATTGGTCTGTAATTGGCAGGGTCATCTCTCTTTCCCTTTTTAAAAATTAGGACAACTGCCAAGCCCCAATCTTCTGGGACATAGCCAGTAGAGTCAATATAAGTGAATAGCACCGCCAAAACTGGTATCCACCACTCCAAATTGTTCTTTAATAATTCAGCAGAAATGAATTCAGCTCCTGGGGCCTTCCCAGTCCTGAGTTGACCAATGAGCGATTTGATTTTGGACTCTGAAATGGGGGGGGGGGCATTCAGGTAAATCCTTCATAGTATACCTTATAGCCGTGATGGCGAACCTATGGCACACGTGCCCGAAGTGGCACGTGGAGCCATGTCACCTGGCACATGCGGCATCACCCGTTCCTTTTCTGGGTTTCTGGCATGCAAGTGCACGCAATGGTCAGCTGGCCTTTATGCATGTGGCAGTGCCGTAAACTGGAAGAGCTGGTCTTCTGTTTTCCTGCGCGAGCATCCGTGCTGGCCAGCTGATAGTTGCACGCGCATGTGCACCAGAAACCCAGAAGAGTAGCTGGCTGAAACTGGGTGTTCAGTAGCTGAAACTGGAAGTTTTGGGGCATGCGTATGTGCCTTAGGCAGCTCCT